GGATGGCAGTCATTTCATCTTCCTGCCTACTTAAACTTTGAGATCCGTAAATAGGTAGCGCATTTTCCTCATTATATGCCGTAGGTACGCTAATTTCGCCTACTCTTGCTCTCGTCATATCCCTCTGCTCGCTATTTCCGATTTCACCTCCATAATCTTTCAATTCTCTGTCATTCCTTGCATCTTTCAAATAATTATAAACTGCTTCAACCACCACAGACTCAGATCCGGAATCTGATGCGCTTCCGCATTTCTCAGATACGATTAAACGTGCTTCGCTACCATCATCTTCTTTAATCACCTTCTTTACTTTCACGTGAACGTCATCATGCTCACCGTTGTAATCGTCCGCATTGGCGACCGTAGTGCCCTTTTCGCTACCATCACCTTGTACGGTCCTCGCTTCAATTTCCTCATCGTGCCGAGAATTAACTTTTTCAGCCAATGACTCACCCGAAGAGAGCAAGTGCGATGTTCCCTCCGCCGTGTATATCCCTATAGATATCGTTACAGCTATGGCCATGAGTATGCATACCATACCAATTACAAGAAACTGTGACTTAGTTGGCAAATAGCCTTGTATAAGTGACATAAAATCAGCTTTTCCCGTCTTTATATATTTTTAAAATGATAAGAAAAAAAGAAAAATCCGTGTGATAGCGCTAAAATGTTCATTTCTTTCGTATGTTCGTGTTTAATGGCACAACCAACTTCGTATCGAATCATCTAAGCTTAACAACCAATTCTACTTCCATATAATAATGTAGATTATATCAGCTGATGCAAACCACAAGCAATTATACCGTCATGAGAGTGTCATTCAATCATTTTTTTTTTAACTTTTTTAATTAATAAATTTTCTATTTTAATTACATTCCATATTTTACACCGGAACTGAAAATCATAACAAATTTACTTATTTATACCATCGATACTTCACTAAATTGTAATTCAAAAAAATTGTTGGTATTGTTTGAAAGATTGTAAAATTATATTAAAAAAGAAAAAAACGAAATGCTCACCTACACGGCTTACATCCACCAAGCATTCTCTTTACACACATATTTAGAGTGCTGCTACAACTCCTTTCTAATCGGTCTTTAGTTGATAGATATGACGTGATAAGTTAACATTTTATTGAAAAAATACAGAGCAATGCCTTATTGCTGTTGTGTATAAAAGCTGTAAGCATACGAACAATGCTTATTGCTATATTATCAGCACAGTAAATGCTAATTATCTTCTGTATCCATTGTATAAATGCACTTGCTGTGCTATTGGATTTGTTATACAACTAAATCACTTTTTTATGTTTAAAAATACCATTTCGTAAAATATTTGATCCTTTATCGCTTTTTGGCCGAACTTACTTTTTGCCTTGCAACCCGGAACACCCCTAAGCCACGATTTGTGCCACAAATGTTGATCAATGCTTGTCTGACCAGTTACCAAATTAAAACATTCCAAATAAATTAACCGTTCCTTAGCAACAACAATTTTCTAAAACGGCAGGGGTGAATTACTCAATACCACCTGTTCGTCCATAAGCGAGCAAATCTTTACATCGTGCCAGTAATCGTTTTGATACAACGTTGTTAAAATTTCTATTCTCTCTCACCTTGCAAGCGAACAAATACTCGTTGCTCACAAAAACCAAAGATTACCAAGAAAAAAGTGTAAAGTGTTTGAATGCATGTAATTCGTTATACTAGGCTTATTACCCCCTCATGCCAACATTAAATAAAGTCACCCCTATAAACAATACTTTTAAACATTCTCTTCAAAAATATTTGCTCCATATTAATTTATACATCATTTCCTCTCCATGCCAACATTAAATGAAATATCCTGCTTTGCAACAGTACTTGTAAACTCTTTTCTCCTTAATTTACCTTTTCTTTGTTCCCTGATCCGCTAAGCGTGTAACTCGGCCGCTCACACCCTCGCCCATTGTTTTATCCCCATCCGTATTATTTTTATCCTTCGTACGTGATTCGTTGTTTACCATGTTTTCTTCTCCATTCCACTGCTCATTCTCCATTTTATTATAACAAGCGTTCTCATACTTGGTTTTTATACCTTTGCACCTATCAATCCCGTATACATGACTTATTCCACCATTCGTACGCCCTTTCTCATTTACCACATTCTCATTTACCACATTCTCATTTACCACATTCTCATTCACCACATTCTCATTCACCACATTCTCATTTACCACATTCTCATTCACCACACTCTCATTTACCACATTCTCATTCACCACACTCTCATTTACCACATTCTCATCCATCCCTCTACACCTTAACATCTCATCCATCCTACCTATAACACACCTATTCTTATCAAACCATCCATTAACAATCCTATCCACATCACCAATCATCCCAGCCACTATCCCTCTAACCCTCTCAATCTCACCTCTAACCCATCCAATATCACCACAATACTTCCCAACCACCCTTCTTGTTCTACCCACCATCTCATACTCCTTCAATCTCATCTCCAATTCTCTGTTCCTACCGTACACTACCGCCAACTCTCGCTTTATATCGTTGAGACCGCCTCTTACGTCTACGGTAAGCGTAGGCGTGTTCTTTATGTGCTTGGCACGTTGTAAAAAGCGTAAAGTGTGGATGCTCTCCGTTTTGTACCTCAGATTTACATTACCTATAACCGTTAGGTTGCTGTTACCGCCCAGACTGTCCTTCAGCAGGAATGTTAGTTTTGAGTCTCTGTAGTTTATGTGCTCGTTCTGTTTTTTGCACAGCTTTTTTATCACCTCCCTTAAGGACAGCAACGATTTGTTTATGTTACCTGTTTCTTTGATGCTTGCGCTTTTTGCGGTTGAATGTTTGTTTACCATACAGGATGTGCTATGAGCTGTATGACTAGTATTTTGAACGTTGTACGTGCCATAATACGTGTTGCCAACACCGTTTCCTACGTTGCACGAGCCATTGTTATGCCCTACGTCACCCACATCATCACCCCTAATACGTTCAGATCCCGCCAAATCAACAATATTAATCTTATTCTCCCTAACCACCACCCCATCCCTACCCCTAAAATACACCACCAACACGCAGTGCGATCGGCTACTCTCCCTATTCATCCCTGTAACACCAACACTCCTCATCCCGCTTCCCTGTCTGTACACACTCATCGCCATTTCATAGTCCGTTACCACCACTCGCGCCAAGTTGGTAACATAAGTGCCATCAATACCCTCCCTGATACTCAACGCACCGTTATCACACAGCAAATCACGTACATGCTCGTTGTAAATCTCCAGCATGCTCAGCGCCACCTCATCAGCCGTTCCGTATTCAAATACGTAGTTGAAGATGCGCGGCACTATTCCTGGATGGTGGTTGTCTCCCTTTATTGTGTATGTTTTGCCGCTTCCCGTCTGTCCGTACGCAAATATTGTTGAGTTGTATCCTTTTATGGTGTTTATCACCATTTGTTTGCCTATCTGCTCAAATATTTCGTTTTGTGATGATTTTGCAAATATTCTTGTGAAGGTGTACTTTTCGTTGTTGTACAGGAGCGTACTGCCTGATACAACATGGTGCACCGTATCTGATGGCTTAATACGCAGGTACACATTTATAGGCATATTATCGCTAAGTTGAACATCAGACTGTGTGTTGAGCAGGGTATCAGCGGTACTGCTAATATTTCTATCCTCGTCCGCAACATCGCTACTGTCCCTTTCCTCTCCATGTTCATTCCCATCCATTCTTCTTCTCTTACCCCACTTGTCTGTACCATGTCCTACCCCTGTATTATGCATAAACAAAGGGTACAATATTAAAAAGTAATTTCAATGCATCAAAGGAATAAAAGAACAAAGCGTAACATGCACTTATTTAATAAACGGTCCTCGTGGTGAAGTACTCTACCATGGCACAATACTGCAATATTACCGTTCCTATAAAATTACAACATTGCTCTACTGTCTGGTACTGCCACCACTTTCTATCCCTGGTATTGCACTCCTTCACCCATGCTCTACTATCCCATAACATCCCTCGATAACACTTCGTATCACCTCCCTACATCTCCCTCATATTCTTTTTCCGGACAGGAGAATCCTTCCACCTACCAAACAACTCCTCAATCTCATCACTCCATTTCTTAGGTTCACTAACGTGTTCCTCTTCCTTACTTTCCTTCCTATACCTATCGGTAATATCCTTGAGAATGGCCCGTCTTACGCTGCCCGTCTTCTTCGTGTGTGGCGAATAGCATTCTGCTATCGGATCGTAGTTCTCTTTGTCAGGTATTTCATTGTGGCGTGTCATAAGGGTCCTCGTCATTTCTTCTGCTTTTTTATTGTTGGAGGGAAATTAGGAGGTATTTAAAGCAAAAATCTGAAACAATGTAACAGATGGTAAGCAAAGCGGTGATCAAAATATTTACAATGCATAACCATGTATTTATGCATGGCACACTAGCAGATGTACAGCTGTTCCGCCAACCACTCCCTTACCTTAATAAGGTAGGGAATAGAAAAAAAGAAGCATAAATACGATGCGGGCAGCAATGGTAAACAATACGCATTAAAGGCCTCATACGTGGTAATAGCTGTGGTAGCAGTAGTACGGGCAATCCTAGCAGTAGTAGCAGTGATAGCAACGTAATAATAACAATTACTGATAATAATACCGCAATTACCACTACTACAATTGCTGATACCACAATCACCACTACTACAATTGCTGATACCGCAATTACCACTACTAATGCTACCACTGCCAAGGATAGCAATGCTACCACACTTACCGCAGCCACTAATACTGCTGCTATTATTACCGCTATTATTATTATCACTGCTAGTACCGCTACCACTACTACAAGTACCGCAGCTATTATTACCACGGCTAGTACTGCTATTACCACGGCTAGTACTGCTATTATCACTGCTAGCACTGCTGTTACTACTACTGCCAGTATTACCGTTACCAGGGCCAGCACTGCTACCAGTATTGTTGTTATCACCGCTATTAGTGGTATTAGTGCTGCTATTAGTACCGTTGTTACCACAGCTATCATTCAACGATATGTGCAATTCGTTATCAATAATAATATTGATATAGTGTAATATTATTGGTGCGGTACTATTCATACCAATAATATTAGTATGTATTGATAAGTATTAATAAGTATTGATGCGTATTATAGTATTGATATTATTGGTATGTATTAATATTATTGGTACGTATTAATATTATTGGTATGTATATATAATATTAGTACGTATTGATAAGTATTAATACGTATTGATAAATATTAGTACGTATTGATAGTATGTACTAATAATAGTACCAAATACTAATAATAAGTACTAATACGTATTATTAGTATTATTAGTATAAATACTTATCAATACGTATTATCAATACTAATAATAAATAGCACAATCATTCAACAATATCTAACAAGCTAATACTACTACTCCTCACATACTTTCCATCCATCTTAACGTACACCACTAATTCTGTATCAATAAACATTTCTACGCCCCTCTCATCGCTACTTATACTCGGTACTCGTACATTCAAATACACACCATCATTTATTACCATATCCAAGAAGTACTTCCTCTCCATCACAAGGATTTCTTCGTAGTAAAAGCTGACCAATGAAAGTGTGTTGATGACAAAGGATGGATGCAACACATCAGTACTGCTATCCGTACCACTATCGCAATTACTGTCCTTTTCATTATCGTAACATGCTACTACCTTACCAATTCTTTCGTTGACCACCCTAACATAAAAATTAATGAACTCATTCTTAACCGTAGCACGCACTACCGCTCCCTTAACACCGTACACCACCCCAAACTGTAAAAAATTAAATTCTATCCTTTCATTCTCTACCTTAAGTACCTCACACTGATAGAATGTAGCACTCAACAGGTACCTCTTCTTCATCTGTTCACATTCCTGTTCATCAACCGTTTTGGTACGTGCATTCTCTTCCATCTCTCTGATCGTTACACGAAGTGTTTGCTCCTCTTTTCTTTCGCTTTGTATTCTTTGCTTGAGGATGGCATTGTATTTCTTCTTTTCCTGTACTTCCTTGCTCAGACATTCTATCAGATCGTTTTGTTCTTTTATTTTGCGCTTCATTCTTTCAAAATCGTACATGTTCACGCTCTTTATGGATTCATTATCATTTTTGAGGTTGTTGCCAGTTGAACTGGGAGCACTACCGCTCCTACTCACGCTACCATTCCTGTTCATATCTCCCATCCTTATCTCCAATCTTTCAATCTCATCTCTAACCCTTTGTCTCTCTTTCTCTCTCCTGCCCCTCTCTATCTCCATCCCCCTATTTACCTCAACCAACTCATCCCTGCACTCAACCATCCTCTTATTAAAATTCATCTCCCTTGTTCGCCTCAACTCATGCCACCGTATTCTTGTCCTGTTCCTGCACTCTGTCTTAAGAGCCTTTGCATTCTTCATACGTATAAAATCATCAACTCTCATCTCTTTGTGTTTGCTGGCAAGCACTTGCTCATGCTCCTTCATTTTATCCTTGATGTAACTCAGGAACGAGCAGAAGAATGCCATCCTTTGTTCGTAGTACAGCTTGTAGTATACGTAGAGGTGTTCATCAATTTCGTTTTTTGTTTTGATGAGCGTTGATTTTCTTGTCTGTTTCAGTATGAGATCGTCTAAGAAGCGTATGCCTATTGATGCCAGCCTTTCGTTTATGTTCAGTTCTTCTTCATCTTTTCGTATTATTTTACGCAGATCAACCGTATTTATTAGCACATCCTTGTTATTTTGTACTGCGTTATTATTTCCATTCTTATTTCCATTAATATTTCCATTAATATTTTCATTCTTATTTCCATTCTTATTTCCATTCTCAGCTCCATTATTATCTTCATTCTCAGTTCCTCTACCCATCACTTCATCCCTTACCACTTCATCCCTTACCACTTCATCCCTTACCACTTCATCCCTTACCACTTCATCCCTTACCACTTCATCCCTTACCACTACATCCCTTACCACTTCATCCCTTACTACATCCCTTATCACTTCATCCCTTACTACATCCCTTACTACATCCCTTACCACTTCATCCACTCTCTCCATGTCTATCAAATTCTTATCCTTCGTTTCTTCTATCACATTCTCCATTCTTACATTCATAAACTCATCTTTCCGTTCGTTCATCGAATCAATTCTTTCTGTGCCACCGGTATTCAACACGTTTTCCTTGTTTATGCTTGTCCTTGATTGTGCGCTACTAAAAGGCTCAGTATCAATTCTCTGTTCACGTGCATAAACTGCATTTTTATTACTTAATTGATTGTTATCATACGCATGAATAACATCTCCTTCGTTCGCCATTTCATTACTGGAGCAGAATCGCTTTTCATCTTTTGTATCTACGCTCGTATCCTTATCATCACACTTATCACCAGTCATACTTACATTTTTATCATTTCCCCTCTCATCTGCACCTCCGCTTATCCTCCTATTCATTCTCTTCCCATCCGTACCATCTACATAGCTCCCATAATCGTTCGTTATCTCCACACTTACCTCACCCCCATCGATACTCATATTACACGGTGATGCGCCTCTTACATCATCACTTTTTATGTAAATTATGCTCAGTTTCTTTGCAAATGACACTCTGCGCGGTTTTGGTGGTGTAGATTTGTTTTTTGGCATGGGGTAAGGGAAATATGGGGACAAAGGTTTTTGAGGTATGGGGAATGGTGATGGAGAGTGCAAGGAATAAGAAATGAACGGTGAAGAGCGCAAGGAATAAGAAATGAACGGTGAAGAGTGCAAGGAATAAGAAATGAACGGTGAAGAGTGCAAGGAATAAGAAATGAACGGTGAAGAGCGCAAGGAATAAGAAATGAACGGTGAAGAGTAAAGTGTACGATAATACAGCCGTTGCGGATGACAGCCACCATAAATACGTGCTAATTAACAAACCCTAAGCTTTCTACAAACAATAATGAATATCGAACACACCACTAGAACTGTTGATGGTAATTACAACAATAACAATGAACCGTGCTATTGTGTAAAAATAAAAATGTAGCAGAGCAAAACAACGGGTACACCTCGTATCGTACACGGTACTACATCGGGTGCAATAAAAATATTTTTATTGCGGTACTACCGTTCATTTCTTTCAAGAACGTATCACAACATAAAACATAAACGTGCATCACGGTGAAGGAAATGTATAACGTTCAAAGTACGATTTATAAAAATAAAAAATATCAATAAATCATATCTTCAGCTATACACCCGTTCACAGATCAAGTTCTCTTTCTTTTATACACTGGCTTGTTCGTGTTTGGTGAGTCCGCGTTGGTACACTGGTATTGCTGGGATGGTAGATCAAATGATTTACGGCACGTGTGGGTACGATTGACGCCTTGCTGATTGAATTGAGGTGCATGTTCTGATTTAATATGGGTGGTGTTGTGTTGTTGGGAGTTGACGGGTACGCGGGTTATGTATGGCTTGGATGTGGCAGCGAATGTGACATGACCACATTGATGCGGTGTGGATGGTTTTGTTATGTCACATGCACCCGGTTTATGTGGACCGATCGGTCCATAAACATCTCGTGGCTTAGTTGCTGTCTCCTCGTAAAATGTACCTCCTGGTGTAGGAGGTGATTTATTCATGTTAAATTCACTTTCTGGTGGGTAATATGCTGGCCATTCAAACGTATCCTTTGATGTGGATGGTTTTGCCATGTACAATGATCTTCCTGGCGTAGGAGGTGGTTTATTCATGTCAAATTCACTTTCTGGTGGGTAATATGCTGGCCATTCAAACGTATCTTTTGATGTGGATGGTTTTGCCGTGTCGTACGTATCTTTTGATGTGGAAGGTTTTGCCATGTACAATGATCTTCCTGGTGTAGGAGGTGGTTTATTCATGTCAAATTCACTTTCTGGTGGGTAATATGCTGGCCATTCAAACGTATCTTTTGATGTGGATGGTTTTGTCGTGCCGTGCACAGAGTATTGGCTAGAGTTACCAGCAGATGTCTGTCTCATCGCTTCTGACATGATCAACGCCACCTCCTCATCTGCAAGTTCATCATCAGTTTTCACCCGTTCAGTTGGTTGAACGCTCAGAACAGGTGCATTTGTACACGTGGTAAAAGTGCACAGGAACAAGAAGTGAGAAAGTACGATCATTGAACTGTGGGTCCTTGAAATGGTAGGTTGATGTAGCACATCGGTATAAAAGAACAGATATGGTATGATGCACATGAGAGATGATATAGCACAGTATTCGGTATAAATGAACATTTTACGTGTTCCTGTCTTGCTGCATATCATAATGAGATGATGCAGCGGTTTTTGTCGTATTTTACTTTTACTTGTGCTTAGGTGCCCTTTCACACTCAAACACTGAGTGGCATCACATTCCGCTCCTCTGTGTTATCCAAATGAAGCATTTACAGCGATGTATATGCGGATGGTACGTGCATGTGATCATAAATTTTGACCAAGTCCTCGTTTTTTTGGCAAGTATGCCATAAAGAAAATTTTATATCCTCTTTGGGACAAACCTACTACGTAAATGTTAAGCAGTGAAAAATATTTAACGAGTGCAATGGAGATGAAAGCTACTTTGGACCCTTTATTGACGTTCTTGTTAGGATATGTGCAAACTTAAATTGCTGTAAACCGAAAAATTTGTTTTGTACTTGAAGGTGCTCGTAAAGTTACTTGGTTTTGACATCTGGTACTGAAAGATGAGCTGTTCGTTTGCGGTTCGTTAAATTATTCAGTAACACGCCAAGCTATCAACACAGACCAGCTATTACATGCGGAACGACACAAAAATATGCGTCTAAATTGTATAGCTGCTGAATAACATGGTGCTGCTGTAGAAAGATTTTTTACCGTTTAACTGTGATATAGCGAGTACAAAATTGCAAATATTCTCGCTAGGTGACCGAAAGGTGTCGAGGTACAATAAACGTATTCACGTGAACTAAAGGATTATTTAATCTAAACTGTATTATATTGCAATTTTATTCGCGTTTCTACTCAACTTCTTCCTCTTGGTCCATTCAACATCTTGAAATACATGGCGTATTTCATGTGCCATAAATTCTATGTTGTATTGTGTTTTTGATCTAGATCATGAAAATGTTGCTGTTGTGTGGAGCAGAGGTATTCTGTTCTTCTAAAATAGAAAAGGAGAAAAAACTTCTTGGGCCAGGTATCAAAGATGAAGTACCAAAACACATTTTAATTTACAGCTCAGCTTTTCTTAAAGCAGCACGAAAACAGTGACGGCTTTTTCTTGGGGTTCTCAGGAACGACCACTTTCACGCTCTTAGACTCAGTTTCAACAACCGTGCTCTCCTCAACTACCGCGTTCAAGTCAGCGTTCTCAACCTCTTTACTTATATCCTTGGCGAACGACGGCACAGTCTCAATCGACATGCTCTTCGTCAAATTATCTTTGGTTTTGAAAACCTCATTCGGAATATCTTTGACCTTGACCTCCGTAAAATTATCTTCTTCATTCACAACCACGCTCTTGATGCTCTCCGTGCTCAGATCGGTGCTCTCTTCATCGACAAACTCATTCATACCCTCGCGTTCTTCCCGTAGCAGTGACATTGCCGTGGTGAACGTTTGTACCTGCTTGATGCTCTCATCAATGTCCGACACAGAACTGCTCGATGATGTGCCAGGCCTGACATTCAGCAGATCAAGAAGCAACTCGCCGATTTTCGTGCTGATGAACGGAAACGTCCAGTTGAACGCATCGATGAACCCTGGCAGAATGAACGGATGCTCATCCTCCTTAAATTTCTTGATTTGTATGTGCTCACCATCAAATTTTATAACTGCTCCTCTATTCCTGTACACATCACAGTAGTTCGGTGCTGAGAAGACCGTTATTACAGATGGTACATCATCTATGTACTCCTTGTACAGCTTATATCCGTTTTCTTGCACCTCGTGTCCTCGTACGATGCACCACAGCTTGTTTGTTGCCAGGAATTCTTTGACCGCCAGGTACGTGTAGAAATATGAACAACGGCGGTTTTTGTTTGGCGCGAAGAAAATGGTCTCAAGGCTTTCGTAGAACGGATGCGGGTCGGACCACAGCAAGTCGAGCATAATGCCGTTGCTGGTGGGCTCAACGAATCGGTTAAATTTGTTTACATCCTCGACCTTCTTCAGATCAGGCGATATCCCGCCATGCACACAGAATATCTTTTTCATAACGATTGCGCACAGTGGCAGCGCCCTGAACGCGCTCAAAAACCCTTTGTACACGTTGTTGTTGTATTTTATGTCGCACTCCTTCTTGAAGGAGAAGTAGCGCGTCATTTCTGAGGACTCGTGGTTTCCGCGCAGCAGAACGACGTTCCCGGGATACGACAGTTTGAGCGCCATGAGCAGAAGAAACACTTCCGAGGAGAACGATCCTCTATCCACGTAATCACCAACAAACACCACCGTCTCGCGCTCAAGATCAATGTGCTTTATTATCTTTAGCAGATCGTAGTACTGCCCGTGGATGTCTCCAAAGATTGTGCACGGCCTGTCCACGTAAATTAGATTAGGCTCCTTCTTGACCGTCTCAATGAACGCCTTCGTGAGTTTGTTTACCTGTGATTCGCTCAGCTTGCCCTGGTTGAAGAAGTGCATGCGTATTACATTGCTGTCCAGGCAGTTCTTCTTCTGGTCGCGCAGTATCTTGTCGTCAAGCGCATGGCTTGCGGGCAGAAACACGCTTGATACCCGCTCCGAACGCAGTTCATCGCCGTATTTTTCGAGTATTTCGTCATCGATGGACAACGTTGTGTCTGTTTTTGTGTCTGATGCACTTTCCGTTGATATTAAGGATGCCTTTAGCGCAGAGTCATTCATCTCTTGTATTGCAGGCTGCTCTTCCATGAAAAGGGCATTCATTTCTCATTTATACACGGTGATACCAATGAATACACACGCTCGCCTATTTTCTATTGATGAGTGGCAGAGACGAATCATCCTGCCCAAAATATGATTTAATTTGTTACAGACGTGTCGAATATCACCAAACGAACGTGATGACAGGGCATGATAGCGCACGTCACGGATGTAAATGCGATAGCCCTAGGTATGTGCCCATGTTTAGAACATTTGAGCACTTTCATCGCTGATAGGGGCATATTCCGTTAAATAAACGTACTTAGTGCATAAATGAACGAAATGTGCAAAAAGCATTTGCTACGGCGGGTTGAGCAACAAGTTAACAAAAGGGGATGCCTTATCAGGTAGGAATAGCACCCGGTAACATGCCGTTGTTAATTGGGCAGAAGTGTTAAACCGGCACATTGGATAGTACCGCTACGGTAACGTATCGTGTAAGAATGGTAATCACATCTCTTAATACGGTCGTAGACCAGGTGTATGTTCTTATCAGGATAAGATATGTGCTGGTAGACATGATCAAATACCTATCAATTGCAGTTTTTATCTGTGATAAGAACCTGTAGCACGGCAATCGATCAAATCAAATGTATTAGGTGATGCTGCGCACCTCTGTAGAGAGATAACCGGAATAGCACGGTCACGCCGTTATTTACGCATTTACTGAGCTAAGAAACGGGAAGAGCCTGCATGAACCGCTAGGTGAATGTTAACACTGTTTTCTGTGCTGCTATCGGTCTTAGTTCTTTTCAGTGTGCACGTAGTGGAACTTGAGTAGTGAAGTTTCTGTGGCCCTGTTACACGAAAAGATCAGAATACAACAAATTTGCTACGACGGCGCGCTGCAGCATGTTTATAATGCACCGGTAAAATACCCTGCCGTTTGCAATACAGGCACGAGCCGTGCCACTGACAAGTCTAAATACGATGATGTGAGAGCACAATCCATGCCATAAAGATGTGCTCTTTTCAACCACCATACGAATACAAAATGCCCATTAAACCCTTACGATGAAAATAGATGCCCGGCTGTTCGTGAACAACGCCAACGAAGAATGGCTGGCACTGTTCACCGGACAGATCAATCTGTTCTCTGCACGCAACACGATCGTGCTCACCAACAACGCTGGTGAATACGTGCTGCCCGCCAGCAACCTACGAGCAGAAAAATCCGGTACTACAATTCTGATCCTGAGAAACGGCGAGCAATATGCTCTCAGCTTTGATACGGAAAGAAACCGCAATCTTTACTACGAATTTTTCAATGAAAACGTTGACTTCAACAGCTTGGAAGAACTTGGCGTGGTGCTGACAGCAAAATTGTCAGAGTTTAGCGTGCTGTACGTTGTTAATAAAGTGATTAGCGGGTTGTACATTGACCAGCTGGTTACGAGTTTTGATGGAGCGATTTTTGCGGATTTGGTGGCTTTGAGGAAGGATACGATCGTGGTTGAGCTTATGGAACGCGAGAAAGAATTGCTTGCCGTTTTGCCAGCTGTTGATGAGCGTAAAGAAAGAGGAATTGGTTTGCAAAACAGAGGTACGTTCCTTTTAGGAGACTTGTATGATTTGAGCGCATGTACGGGTGGTGCTGAACAAAGCACATCTGTGAATGACGAGGAAAGTGCGATGCGTGATGGTGGTGAGGAGACGAAAGGCCTGACAAGTACGGATGAGTTGAACAGAGCGAAGGAAGTTGTAACGAGTTTGACGAACGGAACAGATCGTACGGTTAGCAGAGAAGGAACGGTACAATATTCGTTAAACAGAACCAGCAAGGTGAGCGATGAGCACACAACCGGTGATAATCCGCATGTTGCAGGGAATGAGCTGTTAAATCGTATGTTACTTCTCATAGAAGACGGAAAGACCAGAGAATACCTGCGCAGCAACGAGTCGAAACATAAAAAATTGCTGCTCATCAACAAAATAAACAGAAAGGCACTGCCAGGCATGCAAAAGGATGTTCTACTCCCCCTTCTACCGTACATTAGGGCAGATATACACGCACAGAAGATGTTCCTGCGCCAGTACGCCAGCATCACCGTGGAGATGTTCATCAATGATGAACGTACGATGGCACAAATAATCCGTGAGCGCGAATTCTTTGATCCGTTCAAGGAGTACGTCCAGAACGTACTTACGTACGAAAAGGACAACGTGCGCGTTACCGTGCTGGAGATACTCAAAAGAATGATGCGTACCGGTGATCACACGTTCCTTACCAATTTGTTCCTGTGCCTGCCCGATATGCTGCTCGTCAACGAGTTCTACTCAAACACGCCGCCAAGAATCGAAGAGATGATGCACTCTGTGATGATATTCATCTCTGAGATGCACGATTACTACGCCTTGGACTTCTTTCTGTCCACGAATCTCCTAAAAAGAATGATTGGTGCGCTTTTAGCACACGATCTTTCCAACAGGGTGTTCGTGCTGCGCGTGATTTTGAACCTGATACGTACCTTTGGACGGGTCATTGTTGATTACGTTGCTGAGCACAAGGAGGTGCTTGTGAAGGTGTATGAAAGTGTGGTAGAAGATAAGAACATGCTGTACTCGTTGATGTGTGCGCTGTTTATTCTGACCAAACCACATTTTGATTGCGTTCTCAAGGACCTGTGCGAATGATGAGTGCATTTTGATGAGTGTGTTTGCAGTGTCCCCTCTACACGGGAGGAAATGGAACGAACCGGTGCGTTTGGAAGCAGATTAACGCGATGATACGCCGCTTCTGTTCAATTCATCACGGTACTGTGGACATCGTGCTGCATCTTTTCTCATCGATCCTTTGGAGCACTGTGTTCGTTTTAGCACATCGCGAAGACGAGCCAACACAGCAGTTCAATCCAACTCATGGTGCTGTATCTGTGTTTATGCATTTAATTCATTACTTTATGCACATAACATGTACTTGAGCAATTTCTACCTCATTTTAATCGATGTGCTGCCGAACACCCATTAAGACTGATCATTGCTTCCCTGTGATAAATTCTACATCCACCGTTCGTGCTTTTTGCCATGTGCTGTAACAACAGAACGGTATTTGCTCCATGCAGTGGTGCATGCGTTTGGCACCACGCATTTTTTGTCGGGAACGCCCCGTGAACACCGCACGTATTTTTTCACAAAATTTTTTTGCCCATCCATGGCCAAGAAAGCACCCGAATCAAAGGCATCAAAAGAGTCGAAGATAGCAAAAACATCGTCCAAAGAAAAGAAGAAATGGACGACCGGCAAGACAAAAGAAGAAACAAGCAGACACACGTGTGTAGACCCTGAGCTGTTCAACAAGATTGTCAAAGACGTAGCAAATATGAAAGTGATAACACGGTCGACACTCGCCGAGAAGTACAATATCAATCTTTACAGCAGCATACGTATTTTGAGGTATTTATGTGAGAATGAGGTTGTAGGGTGTGTGAGCAAGGGAAGAAGGCTCAACATTTATTGTGGGTCCAAGTTTGTTAGGAAGGAGGTTGTGGAGGATGTTACGAAGAAAGAGGATGAGTTGGAGACATGGGCATAATTAAAGCTTTGATGGTTATTCTCTGTGTTTTGCGATGTGTGGATTGTTGCGTTATGGAGGAAGAAAAGCGGTCTAAATTTACTTCGTTGACCGATTGGTATTGCGCGATTCTGAAACACGGTGTGAACGGTGGATCAAATATGAATAGCATACTTGAGGTGGTACGGAAATAAATATGTTATAGTGGAAGGGATGGGTTTGGTTGCCGTACCGCTCGTGCCTTGCATTAGGATGCGAGTGGTAGATCGAGGAGAGAATGGCGGTGTATTTAACGGATAGTACGGTTTAGAAATACGTTGTAGCGTAGTTGAGGTGTGCCCTATGTTTTTCATCCACAGTAGCACCAAGACCTTAGGAATTATTGCTAGTCCTTGAAGAGCGTATAAGACCGGTCACAACGCTTTTATCAGCAAATTTTCACCGTATGTGATCAACAACACACGATCAGGCGATTTCCTCATCAAATAGCCGTTATTGACCTTAACCACGTTACATGCGGCCGTGATGGAATGCTTTAAATCACCTTACCAAGTTTAAAACGTGTAGTGCCACGCATCCTATACTCGCATACCACGATGAAGGTATTGTTATGTCCTGACTGCATGCCAGTTCTGGTTCACAAGCTATTATTGCACCTCCAAACACCTTTTCTACGCCATAAAAGAATGAACCGGCCGTATTGCCACGGGTAACAAACCAATGCACAAAACACTCCCAACAAGAACACGGTGCCTGCCCACACAATTTACATCCAAAATACATCACTCCTCCAAAAGTGCATCTACACTAAAATACCTGGCATTACCAGTCTGAGCAACCAAAGCACATGATTAAACGGCACTTTATTGAGGACAAGAAGAGAAGAAAATTTAATTTAGCATTAAATTTATTCTTGCATGCAGTACCGGCGATAAAACCCTTCTTCCCATAATTTATTGGTTTTACTGCGGTATCCGTGTTTCGTATGAAAGTTGGTTTATTTACCACACCGCATAACACTGTGCAAACAAACTTGCCCAACGCGGCAATGCCTATGTCAATGCATAATCAATATTTATGCGTTGTTATATGTGATGGTGCCGTTCTGTCCTTTGATACTGTGTGTAGCATGAACAGCGCAATTATTCCTTATCGTACGCTTTAAATTTTCTTCTTTTATTTTTGTCAAAATAATTAGCACCGACCTGTTCGTACGTAGTATTGAACAGAGCACTAATTCTTTATTCTTGGGGAGTGGCCGGAATGGTAAGTAAGCCTGAAAAATGACCTGGTTGGTCTCAGCGAATCAGAAGAGTTTGCTTGTCAGGATGTTGGTACGTGGGGAGATAAACTTCTGTTGAACATTAAATTTGGTTTAATATCCAATAATTAATCCTTTACCGGTGTTTCAAACACATATTAAATGTTTATCTCGTCAATGGCTGGGCTTTCTGCTGGTATACGTTCCAATATTGGTAAATTTACCTAATATGCTATTTAAACCACCACGCCACCCGTGTTATTAAATACGGTGATCACCTTTCCTCGTAGACAAATGCTGGATCGGTTATCAATTCCGGGTGCATTCGTTGAATAAACGTATTTGCTTTACTTCCAGACATTGTTTACGGGCCGGTTTGATTGCTCACCGTTTTGGGTGGTAACAGGCAGCAGTGCGAGGTATATCATACACACCCTGTGTTGCACCATAAAATGATCGTACCTCCGTTTGTTTACGATCACTCTACCTACGACAATTCTGTAACAGCATTGATTATAACAAAAAAAGTAGAAAAAGAAAAAAAATAAACAAGCCTATGGAAACAACCGACTTCAAAAAAGTAAAAGACGTACTCCCCCAGAAGAACACGCTCACAATTCTGACAGAATACAACGCATTGCTATCAAAAATAGCAGAAAAACTGGTATATGAGATGGAGCAGCCCACACAGTTGTCTGAGATTATGAACGTTATAAAGACACAGAAGAAGATCTGCGAGATTGCTGAGAATTTGTATGAGTGCTTGCAGAGGGACGAGGTTGATGTTGATAAGGCTAATGGACAGATTGATGCCTTGGAGAGTGCGTGCAGGGAGCATGAGGAACAGTTTGACAGGTGTAACAGGGAATGTGGAGAAGAGAGAAGTGAAGGTGGAAGAGGACTGTGATGGCTAGAAATGGTTAATAAATGGTATTTTACAAGTATTTGGTGTTTGGGATGAAACCGGTCCGTGAGATGAGCTGCGCCTCAATTGAATAAATTTAGTTTGTAGGATGGATATGGCAGGATGCTGCGTGTTACACCGTTTAACGTACGGTAATAATTGAGTTAGCTTGCTTCAATGTGTCACGCATATACGTGGTGCGCATGCCGTGTTATCCATTAACGGGAAACTGCCCGTCCGGATAGCAGGAGAAGAACCGTAACGCCGGGTAGAACGTGTATAGTAATGAAAAAGGGGAATAGCACCGTGCTACGATATTAAATTCTATTTGAATGCTGCCTCGCTGTGAAGAGATAAATGAACATATTTTTGGTGAGAAAGAAGCGATCAAATATGAAAACTATTGAACGGCACACCAAGGTAAATGCTAGAAGATGAGAAACCGTGTTGTAAAGCAGAATAAACAAGATGAGTATGAAACGGCATGATATTGAAGATGGTACAGCGTAGTGATGTGCAAGAAATGTGCACAATTGTGTTATCCTATGTTACAAATACCTACGGTATTAAAAATAGGTGAGGTAATGAACACAAGTGAGCAGTAGCAGATAAAATAGAAATATTGGCATTATTAGATGAAGACATACGGCATCGGTGGTTCTATGGCACGATTTTGTTTCAATAATGATATTTTAAAATGAAAATATTCATTTTGGTGTTTGCTCCATGTGAGACACGAATAAAAATGCTCAGAGCAGGCGCAGTAATACGTTGAACTAAGAACCAAGGTGTGCATTAACGTTAGGAGAAAGCTGTCAGGGACAGCCAAATATAATTGAATATAAAGCTCATAAAAAGAAGATATTAGAATGCGATGACTTTTGTCCGTTCTGGCAGAGAAAGAACACGTCAAATCAAAGGGCATATTTTGATAGATAAGGTTCATTTCAGGTTTTAGCGACTAATTCATTTGAAAATATCCTTTCATCTCATATTTAGAAGAAACTCTGCTTACCAACAGCAAATGTATTGAACTAGGAAGTGCTCTTTTCTACTAAATATGTTTTCGAATGAAACGTATGCATCAAAAGAACGCGGTACTACCGTACTGCTACGGCTAGACACGTGAACCGACAGCCAATGAGGCCATGATTAGTGTTAACCGCCAGAAATGTACTTCTAGATAATTTAGCGTGCTGTGATGAGTAGTAAATGAAATAATAAATAAGTTTAGTACTAGTTTATGTATCTACTACCGAAACAATGATTATATCGGTGTGAAACGATTCGTCTCCATACAACAGTACCTACCGTAAATATCTGTTGATAGTACGAGTAACCGGTAATTTAACCGGTCTAATATCAATTTTTCTTAATTTTACCATGAATTCGTTAAAATCATTACGAATTAGGTTGCGTACGGAAAAGGAATGAATTACAAATATATTTGTGGTAATCTCAGTAGTCGTATGTATACGTAGTATACATAAACGTAACTGCCGATTGTTACTTTGAAACGTACGAAATGTTTCTGTTTATTCTAACGAACTGATTCAGTTGTTTATTTACACGTTGCGATCCCTAGAATAGTTCATAAATGTGTATTTGTTACTGATTGGTAACAAATATACGATGATCAATGTACCGCTATGGTATTGCCGATGGCATCATTTAGTAAAACTTGGTACTTGGTATTCATCGTTTTGGTGCCATAAAGCACATCAATTCAGACCTATCAATTAATATTTAGTAGCACGGAAAGTGGTAGTGCTCTCATATTTTGTACCAAATTTGGTAAATGCATGGTTTAGCACTACACAAACTGTGGACACGTCACACAACCATTACACTACCCGTAGCACGGTACCGCAATTCCTATATGTACTGTAAATGCTTATTACGATCTCAAATTGACTATAAAGTGACTCACTAGCGCTACAATAATGAAGATAATTTGCTTTTATTTGCTACCTCTTCAAGCAATGGAAGAGCTTTCAGCACTCTTTAGATGGCTCTTTGAAGGCAAAGGCACGTTTATAAAGCTGTTCATAGGTGATATGCAACCATTAACAAGCTATTCATTGCATCTCGTACGTTCAGGAGATTTAATTACAGAGAAAATACAAAATTTACGAGATGTGCAGGTGGAAGGCAATGCTGACATGTGTTATGATGTGATGCTGTACACGGACAGCGAACACACTGTTACTGATCATTTCTCGGAATGGCGTGTGCTGATGCACAACATAGTGATTGGTGGTATTCTGATCAATGAGAGATTTTATGGCGAAGAGATGAGAGGTGATGGAAATGTGAAACGGTGTGCCTCAAACAATTGCAATGGTATGAATTGGCAGCGCAACATCGATGGAAATGGTATTGAACAGCGTATGCAGCGGGTACGTGGTGGTGATCCAAAATTAACACGTGGCAAAAATACTGGAAGAACATGTCAAATCGTGGAAGAGGCAGAGCAATATTTTAATTCATACGGCACGTTCATAGTTTGTAAGGTTAAATCGCTTGCTTTGAAAAAGTACCTGGACAGAGAGAAGAATAGCCACGTTTTGTGCCATAGGTTTCTTAAAAAGTATGAGAAATGCGATGTAAACACTGGAATACTGCACTTTGAGGATGAGAAGCGCAGGCGCAAAGAAAGTGGATCGACAGGTAGCAAGGTTTGTAAAAAGATGAGCAAATCAAAAGAGCGCTCAACTCTACACAACAACGGTCAGATGAAAGCGAGAGATGTTGAAATGGATAACGGTCTGAATATCACCGGTTCATACGGCAAAAAAACACTTCCAAGACCAGGACATGCAGACACCCAAAAATGTACAAAAGAGCAGGTCAGCAATGCTCGACTGATAGGACAGTTCAACAATGAATTCATCGTAATAGAAATAGCAGATAGCATTTTCATGATTGATCAGCATGCCATACACGAGAGAATACGGCTAGAAAAATTGTTGAAGATTAGGAAGATGAAAGGCATTAAATACGATCTTGAAGCGTTGAAGGAGAGCGCGTGTAAGGGAGCAATAAAATTCAAAGAAAAGCTAAGCGTTCACAAGATGAAAGAAATTGTGAGGTGGTATCGCTCGTTGAAGTATCCCTTTGTTTGCTGCCACGGTCGGCCTACCATTGTGCACGTTGGGAGAGTGGAGCGGTAAATGCTTTCATTAAAGAATGCCGCACATCAAGCGTAGTATTGTAAATATGGCTTGGTACCGATACGTTACACGTAAAGGAACGGTATTTGGTCTAATTTTTGATTTATTCGTACTGGTCATCCTCCAGCGTACAAACCCACCAGAAATTATCCTATTTTTCCATATTACACCTTCGTATTGTGAATCAAACCATTTCATACGAATCACTCCTTTGCAGTACTTCTTTAAAAGCATTTTGTACGTTTTTTGTGAATAAAATTTCTCATGCCAACATGCACTGCAGATCACTCATTCAATCACGTATTTAAAACAAAAAATAATCGAGATGGATGATACAATGGTATTTACTTGGTGATTGGTTATGAATGCATTTTTACGGCACAAGTAGTTCACCTCATTTGAAAGAAAGATTTTTAAAAAAGTGCTCGTTAATATGCGAATCACCCGTTGCAACAGTCCAGGGATAGCCGTAGGACATCGTGTATATCGGTGTTTGCTACGAAGTTAAGCGATGTGGTGGACGAATATTGTGCGTAAAAACAACGGATACCGCTCATTTGTTTGCCAAGATGCTGTCGCTGTATGAGGAGATGAACAAACACATTCCTGGTGAAAAACACCTGCTCATTGCAAATAACGTGGCAAAAAGGTACGTACCGCAGAAAAACATTAATTTTGTGTTCCATTCTTTAAACACGAATATCGCACACAGGTACAATCTTTAAGCTGATGGTTCACGGTTGGAGTTAAAAACGGTTTAATAAAATATCGCAGTTCACAGTAAAATAAATATTTTATTCAAATACAAAAATATCACACGAATAAAAATACACCAATTGGCAGAAAATTATGCCACTAGCATTCTCTATATGTCTCTAATCGCAGCTTGACCTTGGTGTCCTTTGTCTTAGCGCCCTTCACATTCAGCTTAACTACCGAACTGTTCTTCCGCCGCTTCTTAGGCACCGTGCTCTTCCTTGGTTTCCGCTTCTGCTCCCTCAAATACTCGCTCAGTCTGCCCGTCAAAAACTTCTGTTCCTCTGTCAAAAGAAGGTCTATAACAATGTTATCATCATCAGCACATTCATAATCGTGCAGTGTATGCGTTATCCGCTCGGTAATCTCCCGAATTTCGTCCATCAGTTTCTCGTTGCTGTGCGAGTACCGGAAAAGCAGATCGTCGTAGGACGGCGCGTTGTAGATGTGGTACGGCAGTAAATACTCGTAAACATGCTTAGTATTCTCAAATGGTCTTATATCTGGGTGTGTGAGCTGATACTGGTCCTTGTAAAGAAAATTTAGGATTCGTTCACGTCTGCAAATAATGTGGTCGATATTGTCAACCAAACTGGCACTCTGATCGGTTCTGTCGGACAGAAAGGCATCCGCATCGTGTTCATCAACTGCACCCTTCCGTGTGCCACTCTGTGCCTGATCTGCTAAATTGTGTGCGCTGCTAATGTCCGTCGAGGTGTGCAGCTTTTTCTTTCTTCCTCTTCTGCCCATATGTGCAATTTGGGCGTGCGGCAACGGCCCGTCCACTTTTTCATTACTATTCTTTCGTTCTTTGGTCGATTTTGTGGTCAAATTCATTTTTTTTATTTTATTTCGTTACCCTTCATCTTTTTTTTATTTTTATAAAAAAAAAATGGTTGAAACACAATTTTTTTTGTATGAGGAAGGAATGCGGAGATTTATGTTTTTTTGGGAGGTGAAAAATGGCTGGGAATGTAAGATTTATGGGACGAATGCGGGCCAAACAACTTATTTTACAGGGTGAGGGGTTGTTTTGAACGACAAATAAGGAGTATGCCGGCAGACTTAGAGAATACGAATTTGGTTGAGAACTACAGCAGTTTAGACCAGCAGTTGTGGTATATAAGCAGTATTGCTATTGTTAGCACGTATTACGTGCAACAAAGATCCTTTGGTGCTCAATATAGGTAAAAATACATTTCACGGCAGATATTTTTTTAGGTCTATGAAAGGATCTTTCATACCAAAAATGCGTGTGTTTATCTCTTTTTATATCAAAAATGTGCTTTTCTAGTGTCCTTAAAAGACCCGATACAATTTTATCATATTCTACGTGGCCAACACAGCGGCCGATACTGGTTGATAGCTTACAAGGAACAGAAGTAATAAAACAATCTACACGGATAACATACGCTCCACGAGCGTGTCAATGATAAGTAATCTCCTCAGTGACAGTGACAAGGAAGCGGCTATGAGTTGTATAGATATTTGGTAAAAGCACTGGTGTATTCCACGATGGGCAACGTGATATTATACGAGTAACATGTGTCACATGATGTAAAGCACGTAGTGCTGACAGGCAGCATGATCGATCGCACAACTTAACCGTTGTTACCAATTCTAGATATTGTTAGTTACCACCGTTTTATTCGTAAAACGAATGTTCATGCTCATCTAAAATTTTTGGGTTTAATTAAATGTGTTAAAGGGAATATTTGTTGCGGATCAAAGATGTAATTATTCTGTTTACCGTGATATTGGCAATATGCCAAGCAATATGACAATTTACCAATCATTGTTAACGTATCACGATGCATAGCATTACTCTAGTCATCGTATAATCGATGCATTAGGTTAAAAAGCAGGTATCGTTCCTATTGCTGTCCCGTGGTTTGTGTGTTTTTCGTTTACCGAGTGTAGAAAAACTTGAGCATCGTGCTGATGCATGTATACGCATTTTACATGCTAAAGATATCATTAAAAAGGATCTATCGCACAAATGTTGCGCAATCAAATAACTATTAATAATTGTTGTGGATGGTATTTATGTAAATGACCAGCTTAACCGGGCTCATCAACACAGGACCCGTACGATTATTCACACATCTCACTAGCTTGTTGCGTTATCGTCCATCATACATTCTTTTGAAAGGCTGGCAGCATCAGTCGGTAGTTCACGTGTTTAGGCAACCGGCTGCTTAGAGAATAGATGAAGTGATATTTTACAGATGATTACACCATTTATTGTGTGTTATACCATTCGTATTGTTTGTTTCCCTTTTTGTTTGCTATTCTACTCTCCAGCCGGCCTTCTAACCACAGTGATATTTAATTTTTCATTACGAGACCGTGCTGTTGAACATTTGACAGGTAACTCATTCCATAATACGCCGTATAATAACCATTGAAAAATTTATATTTGCTTGGCGTATTGTCTGCTCATTTTGAATTTGTTTGTCGGTTACACGTAAACGATCTGTATTTGCTATCAATTTGTAATTGTTGGTACAATTTCACCGCTTTCGAATGCATTTTGGCCATGATACTGCCAATTTTGCTGTTCGGCGGTAAACAGTTCTAAATTTTTAAAATGGCACTACGCAGAGAGACTGGCGATTTAAAAATGAATTATTCGGTCCTAGCGGACCAGAGAAAGTTTCTGTTAAAGGGTGCTGAGTATGTATGCGATAAATGAACGGTGTTGACCGAAGAAAATGTAAAAAATAAACACAAAGAACTGCTATTTGAGGAACATACCTGTTGTATAAACGTAAATTTAGCAAGTTCAACGTAAAAATAGTTCGTTATGTCGCACAAAGAAAGGCATCGGAGGTAAAAAGCTTTCTTTGTTCAACGCTCCAAACCGACGAAAATATTTACAAGTCACAAAGAATGATTTATTGATCGTTATTTACATTATTATAGGTCTTTTGCAGCGCTTAGCCGGTAATAAAGTGCATCCTATGATTTGACATATTATTGTACACGGATCGATGGCCCATGCAATCGGATAAGAAGGATGAAAAATCGTTTGCAAAGAGCTGCAGCCTTCCGACATCTCAGAACAACGCAGAGTTTCAAGAAACAATAAGCATGCTCAAAAAGGAGCTGTTATCGAAGCATGCAGCGCCGTATGCCGCTGAAATAATAGCACACTACATTTATATGAAGGACTACGAGGGCGCGCTTCTGCAGTACGAGGATATAAACGTGTCATCTGACGAGCTGGACAGGATGAAACTGTTCATAGAAATACATCTTATCAACATGGATAGAAGAACATGCACCGTGACCGATGGTCACCTGGTTGCCAATTGCATGCCGTACGAGTTGAACAGCTTTAAATGTCAGCGGGCGAAAAGAACGAGCTATCCAAGGCAAAAGCTTAGATTTGGTTTTAAAAAGGAACTAAGAAGACGTCCACGTAAGTACAACAAGGCGATCGCCTTGTTAAAGCCTAAGAATACGGGTGTAAGTGTGGAAATGGACAGAGCAATACAAAGGCAATCTGTACATAATATAGCTCCAGGATTGAACAAAGAGGCGAATAACACGTACGCTGCCGATCAAGTGTTGTCTACGAACACAGTTGGGAATAGCAGCACGGGTCAAGCGGATGATATGTGCAGATCTGGCGATAAAACGCAAATCAGTCTCAATGCGACACTAAGGATCGATTCAAAAGTCATCGACTTGAAACGGGTGTTTCTGGATGAGTCGATGGACCTGGCTTGTAGAACGAAATTCATAATACGGAACAAATCGTACGTGCACAGTTTATTTAATGGGTTGGAAGCAGCCACACAGATAAAATACTTGAGGACCGTTATTTCGCTGACAGAGGATAAACTCGTAAATTTCTTGGAGCGCAAATTTGATCTCGAAGTTTTCACTTTTTTGGGTACGTATCGCGCAATATCACGCAAATTTTTGGACAGTGATTGCACACAGCGGCTCAAGTTCATGCTAAACGAGGAATATTACAAGGACCTGGGATATAACGAGCTGTGGACAATGTATGCGGTGTTAAAGGACACCAAGATGTTGAAGTACGCTGTGTACAAGAACCCCTTTGCTGATGAGGCGATTGTTACAAAAGGATTTGGAGAGGAAATGAAAAATAGCGGATTAGAGGGTACTATGGAGCGCGTGTGTAGGATTTTGGAAATTAACTGGATCAAATGTTTATATGAGTGGGCGTTAAGGCACGGAAAGGTGAATAAAGTAATGTGTGATACACGGGCATGCAAGAAGAGGGCGTTCTGTGCGGTTGTTAGCAATACTACGAAGAAGGATGAAAAAAGGCTGGTGATAACGAAAAAAACGATTTGGTAGAACAGAGGGTGTGACCGGGTACGCCATGTTATTTAGGTGAGAACGGCTTTGAATATGAGCTGCTAACAGGCCCTTGATGCGATGATAAAGGGTTTGAAACAAATTCACGTGCTTGTACGCTCAACAAGATTAATAAGGAAAGCTATGAGTGGTATTTCAGTTCAAAACAGTTCTTAAAGCGCGTAAACGAGTATATATAAAGCAATTTATCATGTTCCTAGTCTTGGCTCACAGTTATTTAGCGTTCTTTAAAGAAAGAAACCTGAAGTCCTTATAAATTCTATCGATCATGGCTGACTATCGTCCTTTGTTATGCCGGTCATGAAGAGTCGAATTCATAAATCCTTACATATTACCATACTTTTATGGAAGATTAAGCCTTTTCTACCTCGTGCACGTTATTTTGTTCTGTACCTCTTTGTCTGTTGGTAATACACAACTTTTCCTTTTACACACCCTCCACTCGCACAATTTGTTCCGGTGTGCCTTGCAGTCCACAAAGATGCACGCACCATCCTGTTAGTACTTCGGCATCTCGTCCGATTGTTCCTTTGCTTTGTTTTTATTCCACCGCAAACATAGCCCTTGCAATGCCCGACACAACGGTCTTCGTACTCGATAACTCGTACTATGCACAAAACCAGGATTACCTGCCAACACGATACATCGTGCAGCTCGACATTGTGAACTACGCACTCTCATCCTCGTCCGAGAACCATCACTTTGGCGTGATACCGGTCGCTCAACAAACACCTAACTATATTCTCACACCGACCAAGAATCGTATGAACATCAGGCAGTTCATATCCAATTTAAAGTTCACCGAGGAGTATAAAATACCTGACAGCATTTACATTGCTCAGCGGTCATTGCAGTATGTGGATGCGACCCAAAAACGGCTTGTCGTGTTTTTTAGCACGCCATTGAGCGATTTAACGCTTGAGGACGTGCTAATGAAACTCAGAGACTGTGCGATGATGCGGTGTGCGGTGTACGTGTTTCTGTTTGGCGATGCCAAGGACTACAAAATGTTCCTGGACTACGAGCTGAATGACATGGGCGTTGTGGTCACAGTGGTTGATACCGAGGACAATTTCAAGAACAAGGCTATGGATGTGCTTGCTGGAAGCAGCCTTGAGGAAATGGAAGATCCAAACTTGGCACTTGCTTTGAGACTCTCAGCAGAAGAGGCCGAGAGGAATAAGAAATAATAAATGGTGTATGCGTACATAATGCGTTGTCGTGCTTGCAGAATGCATCTCTTTTTACTTACATTTCACGCACGTTCCAGGGGTGTATCACACATCCCCGTTTACTGCTATCATTTCATACGCATCGTCCCGCGGTATCTCCGGATGGTTCTCTCGTTTTAAACGATCCAACAGTGCAGTGAAATTTGGCAGAATTTGATACGTGACTGGGTAACTGAATTGATTGTATGATCTATTCACAAATCAAGTATGACACAAGAGCTATAGAATAAGGAAGTTTATTTGATGATCCGGAAGAGCAATCAAGTATAATGAACCGTTCTAAGGACTAACACGATTTGAACAATCGTTCAAGGAAGATGTGTTATAAAATTTTATTCCACTCATTACCTTACCACTACTTGGGGAAGGAACGCTTCACTTGATTTTGATATGAAGGTATAACAATTCAACAATATGACTTTTTAGTGTGCATATATTGTGGAATATGATATATTCGAGGCCATCTTGAATATCGTTCAGGAATTGTATCACACCTCAATGCACCGTTGTTTGTGCTTAGAAACTGCTCCTTTTTACCCTAGGATGACGACGACATAGCTTTTCTAAGAAACTTTGAGGTTTTTGATTGTGTTTGTCTATCACGATGGATCTATTGGAAAAGAACGTGTTTCAGTGCGATGAATTGAGTATAATTGTTGTTGAGCGGTTTGTGATTTCTAAGCCCGGCATGTTGTCGCTCGATGAAGTTTGGTTTAATCCCAAGCAGAGTTTTTATTAGTGAATATTCTCATAGATTGTGATTTAAACGTTAAAATAGCAGACTTTGGGCTGAGCAAGCACATGAATGATAGCGATGCCGTTTACTTCAGCGATGAGAATAATGCCGATGACAACCCCGTGGACAACAACCTGACAGCAAACGTTGTTACCCTATGATACAGAGCACCAGAGATACTACTAGGCGAGAGCTATTCCTATAAGATTGATATTTGGTCAATAGGCTGCATACTAATGGAAATGGTATTGAATGCAAACGTGATGAAAGGAAGGAATGAGGATGATCAGCTGAAAAGGATAAAGCGTGTATTGGCACGTCTTGGAGGGTATTTTGCCGGTCGGAGTCGGAAACTGTACGAACTGGGAGGCGGTTTGTTGGGATATTTTAAGGAAGAAAGGTTCAGCGCGGAGGAAGCATTGAAATGTGAGTTTTTTAATGAACAAGAGGCAAAGGGAAGGAAAAGGTTTACAGATAGGGAACAAACCAAGAAGTGATTGACTATTGCATGGGTACCGGTGCAGAGACACCAAAGATAGATATTTGACAACATAAATGGATGAAATAGGAAAGTGAATACAAGTAAATGGTCAGACTGTGCGCCATCGGTGCTGATGGTCGAGGACTATGGCTGCAATAAATATTCGACAGAATAGATGTATGTACGAAGCTATTCTCAAAAAAATTGAGTATGCTTTTTTTATGTCTTATTTTTTTTGTTAAGTTTACGCACTTTGCGCTTCTTTTATCATATCCTAATGAATAGTGAACATTCTTAAGTAATAATATAGCCATTTAATATTTTTTGCTTGCAGATCATCATAATCACTACCGAATCGCATGATCTGCGCAATTCTCCCCTTTCCCTCGATATTTCATTCGGGATTCTTTTCCGATTGGTCTATCTAAAACCTACAAATAGGATCAGAGCCTCCCATTTGTACACCAAACTACAAATAAAGATGTAAATGCGCGAAGGAACGTAAACTTTGGAACAAAAAAACGGATGCAAAAAAATTGTAATTTTAAAATCACGCTTGATAAGTCGCACTTTATCACAAACGAGATAATATCTGGGAAAATACACTTGGAGCTGCTAGAACCGATCAATTTACACACAATTTACATTCATTTCTACAAAAAATTTGATTGTGAATTTGAAGTGAACCGAAACGACTCCTCGTTTCATAAAAAATGGTACAAGACTGAAAGAACGATATACAGCAAAGAAATAGTGATCTATGAATCTTTTAGGCATGTCAATAAATTAGGGAGTGGCTATCACGTGTTTCCATTTAAAATCACGCTTAGACCGAAGGACAGTGGTACATGCACCCTATCACAGTATGTGGACAATTTTTACGCAGAAGCGAACAGCTACTACGGAATAGATGCGTTTCTGAAGGTAGAAGGGGTGTTCAAGCCCGTTCTCACAGATAATGTGCGTGTAGAGATGCGAACATACCACCAGAAAACGAGAAAAATCACAGACACGATTAATATCACGTCATGTCTGTGCCTGATGTCCACTAACCTGATCATTATTGGTCATACGGACAAGGATAAGTATTCAACAACCGATGCCATCTCATTTTTTACGCGCCTTTCCAACAACACCTATGGTATCAAAAGTGTCAAATTACGGCTTTACTGCCATCTCACACTCAGAACAAAGAACAACGTCGTGAACAAAACAAAACTCGTTGCTTCATCTGATAGATCAATCATAGAGCTCAATGAGTGCAAAACAATGATAAAAATACCGAGTAATGCTGCACCTACGGTATATGAGAAGTACCTGTGTGTTTATTACACGTTGAGTGCGATCGTGCACATCAATAGAACGTCACCGATTGTTATCGAAAGAAAGGTGTTCATTTACAGAGAGCCGAGAAGAGAAGAGCCGTTTTGTTCCATAGGAGCATTCAAAGGAATCACCTTTCCGAGTGTGTATATAAACATTGATTGATGAAGAATAACCCGAGTACATGTAAAAGACATCCAAAAAGAATCTTTCTGATCATTACAGATATTATGGAGCAGGAAATAGACTGTAACAGTGGTGATCAATACCACCGTAGCGTTTAATCAAATTTGAGCGGTCATCGGTAGTAAATTGATCTGCGTTATCTTGCGGTATTCCTGGATTGTTTGTTCTGAGAGGATCGATGAGATGCCGATCAAAATTTAGCAGAAAAGTGTGTTTAACAAACGAGGATACGTTGAGGGATCAGTAGATTATGAATATGATAAAAATGTAAAATTGAACCAGTTCTGGTAACAATACGTAAAATTGCACGAAAAAATGGTAAATCACAGAAAAAAGAAAAAATGTAAATGAACAACATCACATAGTCACAGTAACATGCACCAACATAGTTTTGTATGGTTAACATGAATTCTAAGACAAATAACGAGAGCCGATAAACTAAGTAACAAATAATTACAAGTTTCTCAAGCAAACCGAAGTGACACGATGCATAGACAGCTTTGGTGTATTAAGCGATGGAATAACGGTTTAGCTCAGAAATTGCGCAAAGCAACGAACAAGCCCTGGCATAATGGAATCATCGATGTCCAATAAAAGCTTTTATTTAGATGCTGCTAGCAAGAACGAAGGCTTCCACTTAGCATCAAGAACACTCCTTTTCTTGTAATACCTTGCAAGCCTGTACAACCTGCTCTCAGTTTGTATAAGCCTGTATTTCTGATCCTTGTCATTCCTAAATTTTTGCAAGTGCGCCCTCATGTTCGTACACTTCTTGACCAATGCGTTAAGATCCTCAGGAATGGCAGGCATCAAGTTGTGTAATCTAAGGATCCTAACCAGTGTGGTATGCGTGATTGCACTTATCTGCCCAACTCCCTCCTCATCTCTTAGTATGTTACCTATTTGTGAGGCAGGTATACCCTTGCGTGCAAGCGTGAGTATCTTGTCAATCACTTCCTGCTTTGTTTTGGTAATATGCGATGGATAAAAGGTGTGGTATGGCAGGGTTGACTGCGACTTTCCTTTCGAGTTGGTGTGCATGCGTGTCATTGAGGGTACAAATTTTTTTTCAATTTGAAAAGCGTAAAATTTCCAAGACATGGTTAATTCCAGACACATCCTATGGAATGCAGCAATTTATATTTTTTTACAAAGATCGCACATATTTTGGTAACAATAGGAAGGATTTGATACAAATATTGCTATTCTTACTTGAATTTTTCGGTTTAAAATCACTGTAAACGATTAAAGGAATAATCTGACGTATTGCAAGCTTAGATTGTTTAACTACTGATTACTATAAAATAGTTTTATTCAAATTTTAGCATTGAAACGTGAAATACTTATGATTGGCTTAGATTACAGGATTACTGCTTGCCAGCAAACCTTTTATCATCGTATAAACAAAAAGACAACTCGAAAGCTGATTGGTAAGTTTGAAAAGAATAAATTACCTGATATTTC